GAGGTGGGTAAAATGAGGACCCGGATTGTTGTTGGGGCCAATATGCTGACTCTGTAAACCGCTTAGAGAGGGCTGAAAGCCCTATGAAGCGGTATGTAAGTCTAACTGCTATTGCTATTGCTATTTGGATGTGAGGTAAGTGCAGGGCCCACACGGTGGCTCGGGGAGGAGGGAAATGGGCCTCCCGGAAGTTCCGAAAGGCTGGAAATGGGCCTGTTTCCGGCCCCCAGGGAGCATCCGGAGCCTGGTGAAGGCGAAAATGCCCCTCACTGCCATGGTGCAGAAGGCCGACTAGGCCATGCCAACCATAGCCATGCCCACCTAGCAATCGGCCAAAGAACCCGTTGCTGAAATTTTTGAAGCCTGGGTGGAAGCTTTGCAAAACTGGGTGACTTTCGGCCAATCAGTAGGAGATGGGGAGTTCTAGTCCCACCTTAGACATGAAAGTTGACTGGGTGACTTTGGACCAATCACCAGGAGACTGTGAGTTCTAGTTTTGTCTTAGGCATGAGAGTTGGCTGAATAAGCTCAAGGCAATGAGCTCAAGGCAATCACCAGGAGACTTGAGTTCTAGTTCCACTATAGGCATGAAATCCAGCTGGGTGATTTTTGGCCGGTCACTCTCTCCTAGCTCAACCCACCACCCAGGGGGAAAATAGGAAGAAATATTAGGCAAAGGAAAAGGTTCCCCTCGCATGTATGTGCTAGTCATTCCCAACTCTAGGGGGCGGTGCTCATCAGTGCTGTCCGAAGACGTCTCCGTGGTCATGTGGCCGGCATGACTCAACGCTGAAGGCGCACGGAACGCTGTTCCCTTCCCACCAAAGGTGGTTCCTATTTTTTTTCTACTTGCATTTTTGACATGCTTTCGAACTGCTAGGTTGGCAGAAGCTGGGACAAGTCACGGGAGCTCACTCCGTTAGGCGGCGCTGGGGATTCGAACCGCTGAACTGCCGACCTTTCTGATCGACAAGCTCAGCATCTTAGCCACTGAGCCGCCGCGTCCCTCAGAAGAAATATTAGGACTGTTCTATCTGTCTTGAATTCCTGGAAGGGTTAAAGGCAGGCTGAGGGGGGGGGGATTTCCTGGGCCCTGGGAAAGCTTTTGCCTCGTGCAACGATTCCAATTGGAAATGGAACCGCCGTGCAAAGCGATGCCCATTTGTGGTACCCGTTTAACTTGTTCACCTTTATTCTGCATATTGATGCTCCCGGCGATTCATTTCCCAAGGCCGGGCTCGGCCGTTATCTGACTGATCCATGCGCCTCTGGGCTGTTTGCAGAGAGAAATAATCTGCTCCCAGGCAGGTATAATGCTGGCAATTTTATTTCCTGCATGTATTTAATTACAGCCCTGAATATATATTGCTTATTTGAAAGAGATCCTGATCCTGCCGGTTTGTAAGAGTAGGTAGACGCGCCCTCCCTCTCCCCCTCGCTTTTAGAGGCATCCTGGCACATTGTAAAGATGCCCCTTGTGCCTTTCATCTAAGAAGGGAGCAGCTTTGATTGGGGCTACAAAGATAGGCTCCCAACTGCTTAAAAGCTAAGCTTGAATTTTACCTCTCTTCTCCCTTGGAGGTGAATTACCTTAACACGCGCCCTCAGGCCTAATAATGGCTTCAAGTTCAAATATTCCAAATTCAGTCCCAATCACCTGGCAAAAAATCTGAGAAAACCAGACTTGGAGAATCACTGGCACATAACCTCAACCATCTTGGATTAAATCGGGGTTTCCAGGGGCCAAGCCTCTTGAGCTGTCGCCTGGCGATTGGCTCAAACTCACCAGTTGAACTTTCATGCCTAAGATGGGACTAGAACTCGCAGTCTCCTGGTGATTGACCCAAGATCACCAAGCCAGCTTTCATGCCTAAAATGGGACTAGAACTCACAGTCTCCTGGTGATGGACCCAAAGTCACCTAGCCCGCTTTCATGCCTAAAATGGGACTAGAACTCACAGTCTCCTGATGGGCTCAAACTCACCCATTCAGCTTTCATGCCTATGGTGGAACTAGAACTCACAGTCTCCTGATGATTGGCTCAAAGTCATTCAGCCAACTTTCATGCCTGAGGTGGAACTAGAACTCAGTCTCCTGGTGATTGACCCAAGGTCACCTAGCCCGCTTTCATGCCTAAAATGGGACTAGAACTCACAGTCTCCTGGTGATTGACCCAAAGTCACCTAGCCCGCTTTCATGCCTAAGATGGGACTAGAACTCACAGTCTCCTGGTGATTGACCCAAAGTC